CCCCCACCCCCACCTTCCCATCCTCAGCCTTTCCCTAGGAAGGGGCTGGGGAGTTGGATGCAAGTCTGAGGCCAGCCTTCTGGAAATCCCACCTCACTGTCACAGCTCCCCCACTCCCAGGTGGACCCTGGGCCAACTAGGGGTGGACCTAGCCCTGAAAGCCAGGCTCTAGGCAGTGAGCTTTCCCGCTCGGCATGCATCCGTTTCCTTTCTTGGGTCCTCCATGAGTCTTCTGACAGCAAGAATGTCTTTATGATTCAGTGCAGCTTATTCTGGCCATGGTCTCCTGAACCCAGCCCTCTGCAGCTCTGGGAGGGCAGTCCCCACTGGTCCCTAGGGCCCACCTCCCTTTTCTTGGCCATGCTCAGCCTCTCAGTTCATCTCTGAATGTTTACCCTCTATCTGGCCGGTAGTGGAGGTTCTTCCCCAGCGAGTAGTGGGCCTTTTCTTCCTGTCTCTGTGTCATATGCTGTGGCACTTTGGGGGCAGTTGACAGCTTGAGGACTGAGCCCTCAGCCTAATTTTCAAGGCCTTTTTGGTGGCCAGTCGTCCCATCTTTGAGCCAAAGGCCCACCCTGGGACTCTTCCAGGTGCTTCAGCACCTCATCCTCAATCCAGAATGTTTTCCTGTACAGCCCCTCAAGAGTCAGCAAGGCTCAGGTATTTTCTGCTCCCGGCTCCCAGGAGTCTGACATTTCTTCCTAGGACGTCCTCGCTCCGTGTCATCTACAGATGTGGGCATTCTTACCGCTTGGTTTTTGTCTGTGTATAGGTGACTACATCTTGTCATTTTATTCTGGTGGTTGTTGCCCAGCTCTCTTCCCTGCTGCTCAGTTTCCTCGCCCTGGCTTCCAGGCTGGTCAGGAGATGGTCTTCTCTCCTGCCGCTCCCGCCACCCGTTTCACTGCACCAGGGGCTGAGAATGAGCCCAGAAGTGCTGTTCTTCAGAGGGGTCCTGCCACCTGGCTTGCATGTTCTGTCCCTCAGGGACAGACCTGGAGCAGTGAAGTGGTAGAAAGGAGCCCTGGCTGAGCCAAACAGAGGAGCGTGGGCTCTGCTCCCAGGCAGCTTCCTAGAGGGGCACCTTCTGAGGGAGAGGTAGGTGGCATTGCAGAAGGCCTTGTTGGGAAGTATGGTTCAGATACTGCTACGGCCCCACCCAGCCTCAGAGCTGTTTCTTTCTTAGCAGAGACATATTTTGGCTTTGGCCTTACTAGTCTCCCCACCCCCCCACTTCACCCCAAACAGCCTGCAGGAACCCATTGCCATCCTGGGGACCGCCCCTATCACAATTACATCAGCAACGGCTAGTGTAATCAAACCCCATTTGTCAGTGTGAATTCTTAGCAGATTAACTTGTCAGATACACAGAGAAACCGTCACTAAATGTTTATGTGTAAACGATGTTGAATTTTAAAATCATGTGGATTATGGCGGATGGGGCCTGACAAGATGACAGTCTCTGGTTTCTAACAAAGTGAAGTTACCAGTGTCAAAACAGAGGATGTTTATTGTTAAAAATGTCTGAAAGTATCCACAGAAACCCCTGCAGACCCCTGCCAGCAATGCCGGGCCTTAGTCGACTATCCTAAGGCCTGGGATTCTCTTGTTCTGAGCCCCAGGACAGGAGTGGCGGGGCTGCGTCGAGCAGCCAGCTGGGAAGCTCAGAAAGCACAGCCCGGCACCACCCATGCCTGAGGGGCCAGGCCCAGGCCGTGGAGCCGACTGAGAGCATCCTCTCTGCTCATGTGGCCTCCCTCTCCCCATCTGCCCACCGTCTGCCCACCGCAGCCCTCACCTCCCACTCCTTCTCCTTCCGCCTGGCCCCTTCTCCCACCAGCGTCAGCCTCACGAGCCTCTCCCTCCCTCTTCCCCCCAAACTCCTCCCAGGCTGACAGCCAGTTCTCAGCCTCCCTGCCTGGAGCTGGCAAGCCTGAAACTGCTCAGGTCCAGACCTGGACATTTGCAATTGCCCAGCCCCGCCAGCCCCCCACAGTCAGTAAGCCCCGCAGGACATTTCCTGTGCCTCACTGTCTGCCGGACCTCCGTCAGGAAATACCCAGCCCTGGACTGAGGGGTGGGCCTGCCACTGAGCGGCCTGACCAGGGCTGGGGATGTCACTTGCGTGGGGACTTGGCCCTGGCTTAAATTCTCCCCAGTACATTAAAAGGTTAGGGAATTAGGAGAAGTAGTGGAAGACATCTTGCTAAGAGGTCATCTAAAAAGAACAAAGGCTGCTGGTGCCGATATAGAAAGAGCTTGAAGATATATAAAATTTGAATAAAGTAAATACGGCTAGTATGATTGTAATGTTGTTGGAAAAAAAGCTTATGTAACAAGGATATATACTTGCACATGTGCATTAAAAAATCCAGAAGCACGCATAGATCTAGCCCTGGGGAACAAGACAGAGACACACGAAGGGAGAAACTAGGAGGATGGCTTTGGCTTTTCTTTTCCTTTGTCCTCTTCTGTATTGTTAGAGGTTCTCACCATTTACATCGCTTACTTTCATGTAATAGAGGAAATCATTTGGCTCTCACTCAGGGCCACCTTGGCACGGCCCTGCCAGGGACCCTTGCCCTCCTCTCCTCAGAGCTCCCTTGAACTAACCCCTCTCCTCACCTCTGGGAGCCTGGATTCACTTTGGATTCCATCTTGAGCTTTCTACCTCTTGATACCTAAAGCATTGACCTCCTAGCCTCGGAGGGAGAGGATGTGCAGGAAGAGAGGAGTACCTGTGAGCCCAGGACCAGCCATGCAGTCCGAAGGAGCAGAAGGAAAGGGGCTTCCTCTACTCCCCTCAGTTCAGCGTCCCGGGAGAGGGGTCTGTGGAGGCTTAGTGGCTTGGGCAGGTCTCTGGACACGAGGCAGCTCCATCCCGGGCTGGAGGCGGGGGTCTGAAGCAGAAGGCCAGCCCTGACCCAGCACAGGCTGGCCCAGCACGGTCCTCTCTAAGCCAGTAGGGGAGGGGTATCCTCACTGAGTGCGTGAGGGAAAGACTTGTAGAAGGGCCAAGAAATGGCTGGCGCTGACCCCTCCCGGGCCACATTCCCCTCGGAAGGAGGAGAGGCAGCCCGTGCCTCTGCCCCCTGCCCCCTGCCCTCAGTGAAGTCCCTCTGCTCTCTTACGTCTACAGAGGAGCCGATCCGGCTGCTGCGGGAGGTGGTGCTCTTGACAGATGACCGCAACCTGCGCGTGAAGGCACTGACGAGGAACGTGCCTGTGCGAGACATCCCGGCCTTCCTCGCGTGGGCCCAGGTGGGCTGAGGGGGCCGCGCCGGGGCCCCCCCCCCCGTCATGGAACCATTCCTGAGAGGCCACCAGGCGCCCAGTGTAGCACCGGCGATGCCCACGTGCCTGAGCCACCAATCCACCCAGACAATAAACCATCCTCTTCCAACCCACGCTGTGGCCGTGCTGTGGGGGAGCTGCTCCTCACAGAGCCCCTCCTGAGGGTCGGGCGGAAGCTGCTGGGACCCTCCTGGGCTGCCAAGATTTAGCAGGGCGGTGGCTGGCTGCAGTGACAGCAGGTGGGTGAGCCAGATAGGCCGCCCACGGTCTCAGCCTTTCTCCCTCCCCCTGTCTAGTTCAAGGGCTCGCGGAAGGCCTTCTCAGCCCAGGGACTCGGCCACTTTCTCAGCTGGAGACAGGGCAGGGGGTTGCATTTCCATCAGGTGCAGGTGAAATGATCTTCAGAACCCCTGTGCTTCTCATGAATGTGTCCCAAGAGGCTTTGGTCATGCCATGAAGAGAATGTGCAGGGTGTGTCTGAGGCCTGGATTCCCTGATGGATCCCAGTTGGCTTCTGGACACCATGTCCCGAACAGCAGCCCTAGGCCCCACCTTTTCTACCCCCTACCCCAAACACATATCCATCCTGCTGCTCTTCTCCCTGTCCTTCTCGTTCTGGGTCCATTACACTTTGCCCCTCGTTCCCCCTTGGATGGTCATGGGTCTAGAGGGAAGGGACATCTGGCTTCAGACTCCTGCTTCCTGGATGGCATTTGCCTTCTCCTCTTCCTCATTGGCCTTCCTTTTGCTCTAGTTCCCATTTCACGAAATTTCTTCAGACTCTTCTCAGTTCCCTGCTCCTCTCTCCTCCCTCTCTCCTTCCTGAACCATCTCCTTGGCCTCCTTCCCTTTCTAGTTGGTCCCTCTTACCTCCCCAATCCCTTCAAATTCTTCACCTCAGGTCCTTGCCATGGGGATTCCCAATCTGAATCGTCCTCCTCTGGTACCTCCTCTGGTACCTCTTCCTTCTCTGTGCCAGGAACCTAATAAAGCTTTCCTGCCCTGACCCTCTTTCTCAGACCCCTTGTGCTCTGAGAGACTTCCAGGCTCCTGCAGACCAGCCTGAGGGTAGGGTGGGCCAGTGCCTGAGAGGGGCATCGCCTAGCCTGGAGTGTACACTGTTTCTAGCTTTGCCCTAGAAGAACTTGACACAGGGGCCTTTTGGCCTTTGAGGTTTTTGTTGCCTCTTTAGCTGGCACCTGTGTCCAGAGCCTCCCTTGAGGGGCTTCCTACTGGGAATGGGTTCTCCCAACCCGGGGACAGGGATGAAAGGAACTTGGAGGAAGACAGGACTTTGAGGAGGAGCCAGGAGTCAATTTTGATGGGACCAGAGAGGGAATCCCCCAGAGCTCCCCTTCTGGATTATACAGGCTTCCTAGAGGATGGGAGAAAAGGCTACCCTCCCTGAGGCCCAAGATTATACCAGGAGGAGGGGGTACTGTACAGGAGAGCCACCAGTGGTTTGGGGGTATGAGTCCCCCAAGGGCCTCAGAAGACTGGCTCTTTGGGGTACAGGGTCCCAGTCTCTTCTTTGAGATCCTCTCCCCTGGATGAAGGCCAATGACTGGGTGGGTGGGAGACCCATCTCTCCTTTCTGTCCCATTTGCAGCACTGGTTTTGTTTCCTTAATAAATTTTTAGTTATGAACATGCCTGACCTCTTCGCCCATCTGTCTCTGGGGCTGGGGAGGGAAGAAGGTCCAAGCCTCTCTCTGCACTTGTATGAGGGAGCCATGTCTGGCCCCTCCACCCACCCAGTTCCTTGTACAGGGCAGAAGAGAGTAGCGGGGTCCAGGGTCCTTGGTTACTGCTTTATTGCTGTTTGGTTTCGAGTATAGAAAATGGAAGCGGCTCTGGAAGAGCCTGTGTACAAGGTAGGAAATATACAAACGGGGAGGAGGGAGCTAAAGAGACCACGTTCCAGCCCAGCCCAGCCTGGGCTCGGGGTGGGGGGCCGCCCGGGGCGCATGCAATAAATATGGTCCGGGGCCCCAGGGAAGGGAGGGATGGGGAGGACACCGCGGGAGTGGGAGACCGGTAGGCCAGGGCTGCCTCAACCCTCTGACTCCAGAGGGAGGGAAGGGTTGGCCCTGGGGCTAGTGCCACTTGTGCAAAATGAGGAACTTCACATTATCAGTCCCGGGGCGGGCGGGAGCGGGGGGCGGGGGGCCCTCCGGCCGGCTCAGTCCCCTCCCCGCTCCCCAACTCTGCCCGACGCTCCGACCCCAGCGGGGAGATTCACAGTGAGAATGGGTGTGGTCGCAAGGGCCGGAGGTAGGGCTGGGAGCGCCCCAACAGTGACACCCCTCCCTCCAAGAGCAGCACGGAGCCGGGGGGGGGGAGGGGGCCAACGAACCACAGGAAGAGGCGGAGAAGGGCCGGGGGTCTCCTTTGGTCAAAGCTGGTATCAAAAATATAAATCTCCCTTCCCCCATCCCACCCCCGTCCCGGGGTTTCACCCTCACCCCCACCCCCGGGCTAAGGCACAAAGCAGTGAGGCCAGGTGGGGCCGCCGCCAGTGCGGCGACGCTGCCGGGGCTGCTACAGTCGTGCGGGCGCGGTGTGCCTGCTCGCGGCGGCCGCCGTCGTTCCCCGGCGGGGGGGGGGGGGGTTGGGGAGGGGGGTGGGCACGGGCCGGGGCCACGCGGCGGCGACGAAGGCGGGCCGGCAAGAGGCGCTCTAGGTGGGGGAAAAACGGTCGATGGTCCGGCCGTCGGGTCCGGCGGCCAGGTGCGCTCCCTGGCTCAGCACCTCGGCCGCCTTGTCCGGGCTGAGGCCCAGCTCGGCGGTGAACTTGGCCAGCGGGTAGAGGCTCTCGAGCGCCACCTTGGGGTCGTGCAGGAAGTGCGTGGTCTGCGCCAGCAGCTCGGCCGCCGCTGCCTTGTCCTGCTGCTTCAGGCTCAGCTGTTCAGCCGTGAGGCGGGCCACAGCAAAGACACCCTCGGGGAAGTCGAGCTTGCCCTTGCCGTCGGGGCCGGGGACGCCGGGCAACCCCCCCAGGCCGGCCAGAGCTCCGGCTGCGCCTGCCGCGCCACCCACGGCGTGCATCTTCATGTGGCTGATGAGGTTGCGTTGCTGGGCGAACTTGCCGCCGCACACCTGGCACTCGTAGGGCTTCTCGCCCGAGTGGATGCGCATGTGCTCGGTGAGGCGGTACTGGCGCGTGAAGCGCATGCCGCACGCGTCGCACGCGAAGGGCTTGAGGCCCAGGTGGCTGCGCATGTGGCGCGTCATGGTCCCGCGCTGCGTGAACTTCTTCCCGCAGATGGTGCAAGGATAGGGTCGGGTCAGCCAGTGCGTCTTCTCGTGCTGTCGCAGCGTGGCCGGGTCCTTGTAGCTCTTGTCGCACGACGCGCAGCGGTACGGCCGCAGCAGCTCGCCCAGGCCGCCCGGAGCCCCAGCGACCTTGTCCCCACTGCCTCCAAAAGGGGGCCCCAAGCCGGCGGCCCCCGCAGCTACCTCAGCCGCCTCGGCCCTGCCGTACAGCGCCTCCTCCTCCTCCACGTGAGCTTCCACGTGCGCATTCAGCTGCTCCGAGCTGGGGAAGCCCTTGCCGCACGGGATGCACACGTACAGGTTGTCACCGAAGCTCTCGGGCTCGCCGTAAGCCAGGTGCGGGCATGGGTAGCCCTCGAGGTGGCCGCCGGGCGGGCTGGGGTCCTCGCTGCTGCCCGTCTCCTCGCTGCTGCTCTTATAGTCGTCGCCGTCGCCGCCCGCGCCTGGCCCGTCCAGGCCGCCGTGGTAGCGCGGCGGCGCCAGGCCTAGAGCGGGCACCCCGGGCGAGGCG